GAATCAGCACGACTGCATGTTTCAAACAAATTACAAACAGCCGCTGGCAATACCATGAAACTGTTAATAAAAGTTTTTAAATGACATTAATTATCAACTCCATCCCCACCTCATAACATAACAAGAAAAGGGTGGTTGCAACACTGCTCAGCCGAAGGAGAAGCTCAAGGATGTTAGCATAGTTGTGAAGAACCTTGCCTTGAGCCACAAACTCGTCAAACTTGACCTGTTTTATTGTGAAGGACACGTGAGTTTCACAGCAGATACAGAAGTCCTACTCTATGTCAACTGGACAACAGCATAGCCCGAGCCATTAGTGGCTCAGTAGCTTAACAGCTACTTGACCAAGTTGCTCTACGCTACTTCCAACCCTCTAGGCCCAACAAACCAGAAAAAAGGAGAAAAAAACTATACAAAAGCATATCGAAAGCAAGCATCATCAATAGTATTTGGATTTTCGAACTTATTTAGAAGACAAAGCAACTTACTTTGGATTTCTTGAAAAGAGCTTCATAAAAATCATATTCTGCTTCTGATTGTTCACATTCAACGATTTGAACATCAGTTGGAGGAAGAACGAGAATGGGTCTAAAACCGCATGCACCAAACATCAAGAACATTTTATGGTTTGTTTGCTTAGGCAAAAGGAGAAAAGCAAAAACCAAAGGAACTGAAATAATCATCTTCATTCTTTGTCTTTCGTGTCTTTTGTTCTTCTCAACATCAATGGCCGTAAGATAGATTTTATCAGTTTCAGCCCTCTCGGATCACCATTCTCGTATGGCTTATGGACCAACTTGTTCCACCTATATAAATGTGAAATTACATCACGGAAAGTTGAAGACTAGCCACGACTGACATGAGCAACTAACAATTGATAAATACCAGGTGTTTGTATGAGGCGATTAGATGAGCAAAATCATCATTATGAACGTGACGAGAGTTCTAAAGGTGCTGACTTACCATGACCAGTTGCACCATGGCTCGACACGCAAGAAGCATAATAGGCTGTAAAGGTCTTCCAAATTATTCTGCAGCATGTAATGATAAACTGATTCTTAAAGTACATTAAAAATACTATAAAGCTCAAAAAGCATAGTATAGAGTAGGACATGATTGCTTAATTTATACTTCAAGGGTTTTCTTCTCTTTGGTGGATGGAAGACTCTGACAAAGAAAATTAATAATGCACAAAGCACACCTGGATATGGGTTCCTGTGAGGCACCATCTGCAATGTGAGGACAACTTAAAGGCCGCTTGAGCAACTAAAGTCTTCCAGGACTTAATGGTATGAGCTTCATCTAACACCACTCTGTACCAATTGACCCTATGGTAAATGCTACTCTCTGAATCCTGTATCAGAATCCACAATGTCTTTCAAGTAAGCAAGCACACAAAGACTTCCACA